ACATCAAGCTCTTCAAAACCTCGCGGCCATTGACCGAAGGCATGACGGGAGGTCCGGTCCGAATCCAGATCCAACTGTCAACCAGGGCGGCCACATCTGAACTGCAGGAAACCTTGCAGTCCTTAATTGGCAACACTGCATTTTCGCTCATAAACGCGGATTTCCAGCGAATGGGAACTCAGCCATCGCCGCTGGTTCGTCAGATTCGCGATTTGCTCTCCTGATCTTCTCCAGAGGACAAGATCTCTTCAGCTCTGCCCCACGAGTGGGCGGGACTGGAACCAAGAGCTCAGTAGAAGCGAAGCAAATCTTACGAAGAGGAGTTGCTCCCACCTAGCCCCTTGCCCTAGCATGCTCATGCTCGTGAGGAGATTGAAGCGTCTTCGACGAATGGCGAGGAGGCCCTCCCGCGGAGCACTGCACTCATGTTGGCACCGCTTGAATTGCTGCACATGTTCCTCCATGACGAAGCTCTCAGGCTCAAAAGCTAATCAATTAGACTGTGGTTCAACTCCTCGACCATGTATGATCAGACGCCAACTCGACTGGCCATGATGCTGCTCCCGACGATAGCAGCGGTGCACTTTCTGCACCAGAAGTCCCAAGGTGTGGAGATACTCCCCTGGGCCGTGCTCACAGAGCTGCTAGAGAGAGTGAAGGGGCTTGGGCTCATCACTAAGGATGAGATCCTGAACCTTGCCGTGGAGATACTCCCGGAAGGTGGGATTCGAAAGGTGCTCACACACCTCCACTCCATATCGGGCATCGATGAATGGGGACAAATCCGGCACAGAAGACGAAGAGCCCTGGTCGAACAGGGGATGCAGTACCTCTCTTTGGTTCGCATCCACGCTGGAGACCTGCTTTCCCCAGCAAGCCTCGGTTACCACCGGTACGACTTGGAGATAATGGAACGAGAATCCCATATTACGGGATACATCGCCAAATATCTCCCTGCTGAGTACCAAGAGGCATATCAAGCTGATGTGCAGACGTTGAGGTCTCAGTTTTTTGCTGAAGACGGCAGACTTAACCTGGCCTCGGCGACGTGGGAGGTATCTTACAATCACCTCATGGCCGCCACTTCCTGAGCCAAGTGAGAAGAGGAGATGCTCCCTAAGCAAGAGCTCCTGTAACAAATAGAGGAGTTTCTCCCTCGTTAGGCGTAGAGCTGGCGGAGTTACTCCCCAGGGGTTTTTGAACTAGTAAAGAGTCACAGGTGGAGCTTCTCCCCTAGTTGGTGGAGCTTCTCCCCCAACGAGGGGTGTACAGCTGGTGGAGTCTCTCCCTAGGGGTTTTTAAAAGCTTTGAGTCGCTGCCTGCAATAATTCTGCCTGCACTGAGACACACTGAGCCAACAGCAATCCACCATCCGTGATGCAGGTCTCCTCGTGGTGGCCTGGAGCTCAGTGGCCTAGGCCCAGCTGCCTGCTTAGAAGCCAGCTTGAGCCAGCTTCAGCCAGCTTGAGCCAACAACCGCAGCTTTCTCTCAAGACTCAGCATCATGTCCAGACCTGAGTCAACACAGGATCCCTCGTTTCAAGCGGAGTACGAGGAATTCTGCCAGCGACGGATACGTGAACAACTTCCGCATGTCACGTATCGCAATTTCCTGCGCCAGTGGAGGCGCTCCGCTCGTGCTCACGGCGAAAGCTATCCTGCATATAAAGGAGTCTCTAAAGGTACTGGTGGACAGGAAGAGCTGGGAAGCGGAAAGGGTGGAGTCACTCCCCCTCCTCCTCCTTCCAAGAAAAGAAGTACAGGGCAAAGCGAGGGTGGAGATACTCCCCCAGCAGCAAAGGCCAAGAGTGGAGATCCTCCCTCGGGGGACCCAAACACGGAAGCTGCGATCAAAGTTCTTCAGTCAGCTGGTTATACGCCCTTTCCCAGTCTGATCTCAGACTGTGATGGGAACATCACTGACCTGAACAATCACCGAATTATGGTGACAGTAACTCAGCAGCTGCGAGATGGCCTCAATCAGGTGGAACGACCCTCCCCGGAGATAGCCAATGCTCTCCTGGAGACCTTCCTGGCCTCTCGCCGGGGACTTGCCAATGAGCCTCTGCAGCCGAAGCTTGGATATCCCACAGCTGAGGAGAATGGGTGGTTTCGATTTGAGTATTCCTCACCGAACATTCTTCCCGCAGGGGACAGCGAGGTTGCGTTCCACGGCACACACCTGGAATGTTTGCATGGGATATTGGCCACAGGCAGGCTACTACCTTCGACACCTGACCTCTCCGGCACGCGAAGCTTCGAGGCACGACCAGGAGTGTATCTCCACAGGATGTCAAACAGGCATCTTGCTGCCGGTTACAGTTGTCTGGTGAGGATAGGACCTCGGCACATATTCGTGCGGCCCATGTTTGAGGTGGAGGCTGCGCACTCTGGATCGCAAAAACGTGGTAAGAAAACAAACCAACTGATATACTCCTATGATGCAGTCAAAATCCGAGCGCTGCTACTGCAAATATCAACCAAGGAGACACTCACCTTAGGTGAGTACCTCCGAGAGTGGAGTGGCTTGTTGGAGATACCACTGAGACAAGCACGGGAATCCTTCTTGGCGTTGGGATACGAACTGTCTGGCGAAGCCTCGTCAAGTGGAGTCAAGGAAGGAGGAGTTGCTCCCCTTCCGGTTTATGAGCAGGCGTCCAGCTCCCAGGGTGGAGTTACTCCCCCGACCGTGGCGTCAGAGATCGCCCACAGCTCAACAACGCCACGTAGCTCCACTATAGTGGCCTGGGAGGGCCAACCAGGCGATCTAGGGGACTATTGCACTGCCTCTACGAAGCCGGAGAGCAACTTCTCGTTCGAAGTCTCGAAGGCTCTAGCAGCTTCGCTCCGGCACGGACATAAACCCTACATCAGCGTCACTTCAGCTGGTTGGGCCAAATTAGAGGACGTCCTGAGATGGCCAAGAGTGCAGGCCCAGCACGCCACGGCAGGCGACCTCATGGAGGTCGTTCGGAGTAACGCAAAAGGCAGGTACGAGCTGGGCGATTGCCAAGGCCAGAAGTACATCAGGGCTCTGCAAGGACATTCTCGCTCTGATGTGGACTCCAATGAGGTGTTGGAGGAACTCACGGAGGAGATGCTCCCCAGAATGCTGTATCATGGCACATTCTGGTCCTTGTATGACTCCATACGCCAACGAGGCCTTCTGCCTCAGAACAAGATTTCCAAGGGCCGCGGCAAAGGCGGACGTGGCAGAGAGGGACGACAGCATGTTCACTTCGTCTCGGATCGGGACTATGGGAGACCTGGTGTTTCTGGATTCAGAGATAGCTCGTCGATGCTGGTGGCGGTCGATCCACGCAGAGCCATGCAGGTAGGGGTGCAATTTTTCCGTAGCAAGAACGGCGTCATTCTCACCCCTTCCGAAGTGCCCCCTTCTGTCATAGAATACTACCAGAGCCTGAAATCAGGTACTAAGTACGGAGGCGACAACAGGCCGCTCTGATCGTGAGGACCCTCACCTAAAGGTGGAGTCCCTCCCCACACTGATAATGCAGCTGCTCTCGCAAAAATCTATGTTATGAGGCTGAAGGTCACTTCAATTTCATCACCAGACAGCAAGTATACCCCGAGGTCGCATGTGAAGCTCCGTGCGAAGTCGTGGGCCCGGATCTGCAAGTGAGTTGTCAGCCAAAAGTTTTCTGGAAGCTCTACTTGCCTTCTCGTACAGGCTCAACTCACCAGCTGTCTCGACTGTAGAAGCCATGCCTGAAACACCGAAGAAGAGTGGCAACAGAGCGACCTCCCGAACCCCTCCTCCAGTGCGACGTCGGCCCCACCTATCCAGGTCGCCGCCAGCCAGTGACTCCATTCGGGAGTCCGACTCCGAAGACACAGCAGCCCCTAAAGCAGCCCCCAAAGCAGCTGGGCCTAAGGGCCCGCCGCCTCCGATGCCTGTTAACCTGTCAGGAAGTGGATCTAGCACAGATCGGACATCGGGACCAGGTAAGGCACCTGGAGTGCCAGCGAAAGGTGGAGTCCCGGGAGGAGTTTCTCCCCTGGGACCACCGCCAAAGGCTGTGACCTCAACGATCTCCCATCCAGGGACAGGAGAGCTTCATGTCACCAGCACAAGTCCGGCAGGAGTTGCTCCGCCATCTACAAATAGCAACAACGGGCTGGAAATGGCGCCTGGCCTGCCATTACTGAGTGTTTCATTGCCTCACCGCCTCTACTATAACATAGAGCTAGTGGTTCGTACCGAGCCTTCACAGCGAGGCTAGACACTCTCGCGAGACAGCAGTGTGCAAAATGGACGTCGCCAATCAGTCAGCGATACATTGCAAATCAGCCGGTTAACTACTTCATTAGTGCCAGAGTCTGCAGCTCGAGTCACTGAAGACACGTCCGATTCCGACTTCATTGCTTGCAGCCTTGAGGGGCGGAGCGTGTGCGAGTGCTGTGTTAAGGCACGGCTCGTCATGAAGTGACCGCGCGAGTAGCAAGCAGAGCAGCAGGTCGATCCCTCGCAAAGCGTGGACGTTAAGTTTCACCTCAGACAGTATCCTCCCGCTGCGTGTGAATGAAATGTTGCTGTTGGTGGTTGTTGTTGTTGATCGTCGCTGTCCCGAAGCCCGAACTACGCAGAGGGTTCAGCCTTCTTCCGAAACGAGCCAGTATGATGAGACCTGAAAAGGGGCCACACTCTCCCCGGACTGAGCATCCCTGAACAGCAACTAATGCTGAAGCTTCAACTGCCTACGTGTACAGACCACTACAGTGAACTCCGGAAAGTTGGAACATGGATTTAGGATGGTTAGTGCTGGGATTACCCTATACTTTACCTTGAGGGCATGGGGATTACAATGTTCCAACTTTCTGGCTTCTACTGTACAAACCTATGACTTGGGTATGGCCCCCACTCAGTAATAGTTGAATAATGTTCATAGTATAGATATATTAGGACCTTAATTGTAGTCCTATTCTAGACTCTTATTGTATGGGGGCAGTACCTAACCTACGACCCCAAAGAAATCGAGGAGGAGAAGAGCCGCCGCAAGGCAGGTCCAGACAGCACTGAGGTGATTCTGCGGTTTCCAATGGAAAGGTGGCTTAGGTTTGAACAGGGTTCTTGTTGAGAGAGTTAGCTTACGTAGCTATAGTAGGGATCTACAATATATAATAACAGGGCTTCCTTGTTCTGGCAACCTATATTAACTTCCTCGTCAGGCACCGAGTGTTGAGAGTCGGGAAGGTTTCTTTCTAAATGGAAGAAGAACCCACCGGATGAGACCCGAAGGCCCTCAAATCGCGAACTTTACGGCCGCGTAACCAAGATGCCGTGACGCTCAATTTTAGGGTTTGGGGTTTAGGGATTTAGTAGGTTCAGGGGTTTCCAGAATCGTCACTTAAACCGGCAGGGCAGTGTGGCAGCCAGGGCAGCATACATATTGAACTCGGACCTGCAACCCTCAAGCAATTGAGGAGGAGAGGGAGAAGAAGCGCCAAGAGGGCTGGTGCTAGCATGGCTTAACATGATTTTCGAGGTTGCGCGTAGGATTTAAGACATAGGATTCAAGACTTGCATTGCAGCAGATTTGGATGGGGCGCTTGGTGAGGATCCGGAGCCCTAATTCTACCCTCATGCCGCTTTGAAAGTCTCAAGAGTAGTAAGGGGAGGAAACAGCAATGTCCCACATCAGTCAAATAGGGTATAGTGACAATGTCTAACCACTTTCGAATCTGTTAAGGGACCGACCGTCCATCGCACACCTCCAAACCCAAAACCCTGAACTCCTGAACCCCTAAACCTCTAACCCTTATAAACCCCGAAACCTTAGGCCCTAAACCCTTAACCCTAACCCAAAACCCCTAAACCTTTAAACTTTAAACCCTAAACCCTTAACCCCTGAGCCCCTAAACTCTAAACCCTGAAACCCTAGACAAACCTAAACTGCCCTAAGCCCCTGAACCATAAACTCTGAACATACGGTTGAAGATATAAATCCTGCATTACCCATAAGACAGAAGAAGAAATATGCCACAATTACCATAGTCTAGAATAACTAAGGTAATGCAGGATTTATATCATCAACCGTAGTATAGCACATGTTCTTGGGGCTCAAATACCTACTAAGTATCTACTATAAGGGTACTCCTAGTACTACTACTGCTACTACTTTACTACCACCACTACCACTATTGGGACTACTTGGACCCTTTGCGTCGGAGTACTCTTGTAGAAATCCACGGTACCCAGAGCCTCCAAAACCCCTTAATTAAGGAATGTACCTTAAATTACAATAGGATCCCCAATATGATTTAAGGTGTTTTGGAGGCTCTGGGTATCTTCGGCTCCGGATGCATCAGACCTGAGGCGCTGGAGAAGAAGCGCCACGAGGCCGACCCGGTGTCGAGGGGTTGGAGTTTAGGGGTTTAGGGTTTCGGGTTTAGGGCGCACGGTTTGCGGGTTTAGGACTAGTTTCACGGTTTAGTTAGAGTTTGGGGCTAAAGTTTAGGGTTTAGGATTAAGTTTAGGCTTAAGTTTAGGGCTTGAGGGTTACATGTAGGGTTTAGGGTGAAGTTCAGAGCTAAAATTAGGGTTTTAGGGTTGAGTTTAGGGTTCAGGGTTTAGGTCAAAGGTTTCGGTTTAGGGTTTAGTTTTCTTCGGGTTTAGGCTCACGTGGGACTCCCGACATGCTCGTTCCCAGGTGCTTTGTGTGGGTAGATGTCAAAATTTTGGGTTTAGGGTTTAGGGTTTAGGGACCCTAAACCCTGACATTGCTTTTTGGAAGCTCATTGATATGGGTAGTTATCAAAATAAAGTTCCTTTTTTGGGTACGCTAAATATTAGGTGCCGTATTATAAGAAGGACCCAAAAAGGGACCCTAATTTTGAGAACTACCCATCTGGAAGGGCCAGAATGATGAGACCCGGATCTAAATGAAATACACCCTAGAGCCACAATGTCCTGACATTGAAATCTAAACCCTAAATCCTAAACCTGAGCCGTATAAATCCTAAGCCCTATAAGCCGTAAACCCTAAACCCGAAGCCCGAAACCCTGAACCCAATACCCGACTCTACTTTGAAGAGCAAGCACCGGCAGACCTGCAACCCTGGAGAAATTCAGGAGGTTTACGTAAACGGAAGAAGAAAAACAACAGGTACTAGAGTATAGTCCAATATTATGTCATGCAGTGTGGTAAATTATAGTACGACATGATCAGTTCAATACTATATGTTCTGTTCCAAAGTAAATACATAATATGTTCTGTTCCAAAGTAAATACATAAGCATTTGTATATATATATATATACATATACGCATGCACATCATTTTCGCACTATATAACAAACCACAACACAACATGACAAAATCGAGTACAAGGGACTATCATGTGCTATGATATAATACAACACACAACTAAAACGAACCAGTATATAACCTAGTAGTTAATATAGCACAGCACAGTATAATATAACATAATACAGCAAAATCCAATAAGCACATAGTATAGTATAGCCCAGTATAGCACACCATAATACAATGCAATATTGTGTTGTAGTATATTCGAAAAAATGTGGTATAATACAGTATAGTACTATAACCATGCAGTCTCGTCGTTTTTGTTCCGGCATTTCGCATGTGCATATTACTTCCAGGTGGCATTGCTGGTCCGCAAACGCAGCACACACCCCAAACCCTCAATCCTAGGTGACAACAGTTGAATCATTGCAAATTCAATACCTGTCCAAAGGACACGAGAATTAGGTATCTGGGTTTTTACGATAATTTTTAGTGTAGGTTAGTCTTTGGCAATTAGTATGTACTTGGACCCTTGCGGTGCGGGAACAAGAAGAAGGCCGTTCAGCCGCGATAGCCTAGGTTCCAATCCTCAATCTCCGCTGTTCTGGACCTGACTTAGCTTCAAGTGAAGGGGTTTAGGGTTTAGGGTTTAGGGTTTATAGGGTTTAGGGCTTAGGGTTTATAGGGTTTAGGGTTTAGGGTTTAGGTTTAGGGCTCGTCAAGTGACTCGAACCTCAGACCCGTGACTCCCATGAGGAAGCGGAGCGGAAGCGTGCCGAAGAGGAGGATGGGGCGGCTCTTGGGATTCACTATAGGCTTCGAGGGTGTCGTTTGAGGGTTTCGATTGTGTTTGGATATGGCCGGTGCCATGACGGTGCTGCAGATGTGAGCCCCAACCAATTGGCCCAGTCCAGCCAAAGTTCTAGCTCACTTTTCCTTGAGCCCTTTAGTCGACGGCGCGACAAACACTTCGCTGTAGCAGAAGATTCAGTGCGATGTGGGTGGTTGTCAAAGTTATGGGCCTTTTTTGGGTACCCGAAATATTAGGTGCAGTGTTATCATAAGGACCCAAAAAGGGGCCCTGATTTTGACAACCACCCATGTAGAGGGACACAAGCCCTTGGGCATAGTACGACCAGCAAGTTCACCGAGTATGCGGCGATGGAGTGCAGATGCGCATCGTCGCATTGTTGCATGATCCAATGATTAAAAACCAATGATTAGGGGCTGCTTGGACATGATCAAGTTTCCCAGCATGCATTCACAGATGCTACAGTCCAACCGTACCGACCAGTGGTTTGTCGCACCAGGCAGACTTGGCTGGCAGGAGGGCCCCGCCACATTCCTGAAAGAGAGTTTAAGCCTACTTTCCGAGCGGCCGTCTGGATCCATAGCTTTCAGCACAAAGGAAACGAAGACATCCGAATATTGGGAAATCCTAGAAAGCCCGAACACAAAGCGCGCGGTGCATTGTCTGCTGGCCGTTAGCACGTCTTGTCTACAGTCGGTTTAGGGTTTAGGGTTTAGGGTGTGTAACAGTATGCGCGCGGTGGGTGCGCTTTTTTACTTTAGGAATAACTTGAAACAACTACGCAATGTGTTACAAGATAGTTGAACAGTTTACCATCGAGTCATGAGATGATACAGCATAAACACCATATATCATAATGCCGATGCAAAAACCCTTTCAACGTTCAGCTTTGGCCGAGGCCCTAAACCCTCAACTGCAACTGCTGTGAACCCACAACTGACAGGAGGAGAGGAAGCGTCGCGAGGAGGCACATGGGTTGACACATGAGGTTCTTATAGCTTAAGGTTACTTCTTGGATTCCGTACTTCTTCAAGTTATCCTTTCTTCTTTGGATTTGGACGGTGTGCCTTGGCTTTTTCGCATGCGGCGAGAAAGGTGCGGACCAGCAAGTTCACCTGCGCTGGAGTAGAGATTTGCATGGTGGTAGTATGATGATCCAATGATCTGGAGCTTTTTTGACAGGGTTTTCTTTCCCATTATGCATTCACTTATGCTACAGCCCAACCGTACCGTCCAGACTCGGCTGGCAGGAGGGCTCGTATTCCTGAACAGAGTTTCAGCACCTGTTTGGAATTGTCGGGTGAATCCGTAGCTTTAAGCACATGCGAGTTGAACAGCGCAGGCGTCTTGAGCAATCCGCACATGCCACGCAAGTTGGAAGAATGGAACGGATACGCCGCGATGAAGAATCTGCATCCCATAGAGGCTGGAATAAGTACCAATGTCCATTCCCAGGATTCCTGATTCTAAAAGTGCAGGGATATACCCCAAATCCCATTCCAATTATTACGGCCCCTATATTTTCTCCTGGTGTAGGCCCCTAAAGAAGCACTGAAATCGGTCAGCACTTGGGCCCCTCTATTATGCTGTAACGAAGCGGTTCGATCCTCAGACGTGCAGCTCTCATGAGGAAAAGGAAAAGAAAGAAGCGGAAGAGAGAACGCATCTTCAAGAGGCGGGCTCGATGACACAGGGGATTCGCTTCCAGGTATTTGTTTGTCTGAGGCGCGTCAATCTGTCAGTTTTTTCTGGGAGTTTGCCGATCTTTTCGCCCTCGCAAGAGCCCGAAGCCATTTAGCTCCGTCCGGCGGGCGCCTTCCTCAAAGAAAGTCTCAGGTTACTTTCAGAGCTGCAGTGTTGATCCATAGCTTTCAGAACGAGGGAGCAGAAAACACCCATGCCTTGAGAACTCGGATACAAGCAAACCCGGTTGTCCTGAGGAGCAGAGGTCTGCCGGTCTTAGCACCCTTGTCACTGTCTATGCTCATGATGAAGGAGCTGCGTATACCTTCCGACCTCGGCCTGTTTCCTAAATCAAGCTCTGAACATGAACTTAAAGGAAGCGGCTAGACTCGTTAGACCCTCAGACCCTCAGACCTTCATCTCTCATGAGGAAAATTCCAAGATCAGGAAGCAGCTCGAAGAGGCAGATATCGGGAGACATGAGATTCAGGTTTGGGCTTGGCATGAGGCAACTCAAGTTGTGTTCTTTGGCCTTTGGTGTGTCTGTGTGTGGAGCCGAGCCAAGCCAAACCATGGCACCAATGCCGAGCCGAACCTTGAAATACCATCCGCCTTGTTGATCCCAGGGGAGCAGAAAACACGCGTATCTTGAGAGCTCCGAACAGGAAGCGGACGGAGCATGGTCTGCTGGTCTTCAGCATCAACCGGGAACCTCAGCCCTCAACCGCCAACGTTGCGAAACCCGGACCCACTGTTGACAGGATGAGGCGGAGAGGAAGCGTTGCGAGGAGGCAGATAGGGTTACACAGTTACACATGAGGTTGGGTTTTACAGCTTTTCTACTTCTTGGATGTTTGTTAGAGTATACAATTACATATTGTAGCGTGTTGTAGTATTTTATTGTATGTTATGGTATACCTCAGTGTATTATCGTAACGTTATAGTATAATCTAGTACAATGTATGCTAGTAATTTGGTGTTCTTTGGCTTTCCCGAGGTGGCGAGAAAGGCGCAGGACACTCAAGCAATTGGCCCAGTCCAGCCTCACTTCAACCCTACGGTGACTTAAATGTGGTCAAGGCCGTGGGCATGCGATGTGCGACAGCAAGTTCACCCAGTATGTTTGCCACGCTGGGGTAGAGATGTGCATGGTGGTAGCAAGATGATCCAATGATCAGGAGCTTCTTTGACAGGATTCTTTTCCCATATGCATTCACTTATGCTACAGACCAACCGTACCGTCCAGACTTGGCTGGCAGGAAGGCTTGAACAGCGCAGGCGCCTTGAGCAATCCGGTACATGCAACACAGGTTGGAAGAACGGAACGGATATGCCTACGATGAAGACTTTGCATACGATAGAGGCCGGAATAACTACCAATATTATTCCCAGGGTTCCTTGTTATAGCAGTGCAAGTATATACCCCGAAACCCTGTTTCAATTATTATGGACCCTGTATTTCCCTTAGACCTGAGCATAAGCCTTAAAGAAGGGCTAAACTTGATACAGGGTCCTTAGCAATCGGAACAGGGTTTGGGGTCTATTAGGCTCTGACCATATGGCACCCCCAAAACTAACAGTATTGGTAATTACGCAGGCTCCCCTCTATTATGCTGTAAAGAAGTGGTTCGATCCTCAGACGTGCAGCTCTCATGAGGAAAAGGAAAAGAAAGAAGCGGAAGAGAGAAAGCATATTCAAGAGGCAGAGGCGGATCCGATGACTTTGGGGATTCGGTATTTGTGGGTGTGAGGCGTTTCAATCTGCCAGTTTTTTTCGTTTCAGTTTTGTTTGGAGTTCGACAGTTTTTTTGGCTTGCGGAAGTGGTGAGTAAGGCCCAAGAGCGAAGCAACTGGCTCCTTCCGGCCGAAGTTCTTGCCCACATGTCTTGAACTCTCTAGCCGGGTAAAGGTTTCAGCGACTTCAATGCATTCGAGGCACAGATGCACGTCGTGGTTGCGTGATCTAATGATGAGGAGCTGTTTTGACAGGATTGTGTTTCCTAGCATGCTTTGACAGATAATACAGTCCATCTGTAGAGCCCAACAGGCAGGCTTGGCTGCAGCAGGATCCGCATTCCTCAAAGACAGTCTCAGGCTACTTTCCGAGCTGCGGTGTCGGATCCATAGCTTTTCAGAACGAAGGAGCAGAAAACACCCATTCCTTGAGAACTCCGATACAAGCAAACCCTGTTGTCCCGCGGAGCGGAAGGTCCCTAGTCTGCCGGTCTTAGCACCCTTGTCACTGTCTATGCTTATGATGAAGGAGCTGCATATACCTTCGGACCTCAGCCTAGTGCGTAAAGGAAGTAGACCCTCAGACCTGCAGCTCTCAGGAGAAAGCGGCCATGCTAAGAAAGAAACTCGAAGAGGCACTCGAAGAGGCAGATACCGGGAGATAATATAGGGGCCAAAATAATTACAAATACTATTCAGGAGGGTTCCTGAGAATAATGAGAGTATGATGGGCCCCAACACCCTATTCTAATTATTAAGGCCCCTAGGTTCTGAGATTCGGGTTTGGGTTTGGCATGAGGCAACTCAATTTGTCCTCTTTGGCTTCTCGGGTGTGGTGAGTAAGTGCAACCGACCCAAGCCCAGTTCTAGACAACAACTTAAATCTTCTTGAATCGTTTGGCCGACGGCCCGGAGTAGATGTACTTCAATCATTGGGCATGGGATGCCCCACCCGCAAGTTCACCAAGTATGTGTGCAACCATGGAGTATGCATGTGCATTGTCAGACTATGGTTGCACGGTTTAATCATTAGGAGTTGCTTTGAATGGATTGTGGTTCCGTTCCCTGCATGCATAGATGCTACTAAGCCCCGCCTTTGCTGCGGCGGCGTTGTCTGGTTTCATGCGACGTAGACATACGAGCATGTAAAATTCTATGCACATATGAACATCTAGACACTGTTACGGTAGATGTCCATCTATGTCCACATCTGTGTTTCTATCTCTGTGATGTCGCCACCAAACCAAAACAAGCCGAGCCCAGCAACACCAAACCAAGCCGTGCCAAAAGCCGGACGAAGCCAAGCCAAGCCAAGGCAAAAACCGAGCCACACTCTAAACCCCGCCCTAAACCCTAAACCCTAAACCCTAAGCCCGAAACTCTATCAACCGTGAAGCTAGAGCCCGATTCGCCAAGCCATCAACCTTCGAAACGAAAGAAGACTTCAATATAGAGTCCTTATCATACACAGTTTTGGGGGCTGTTGAGACACTAAACCTAAACTCTCAACCTTCAAAAGGAAAGAAGGAAACCCTAAACCCTAAACCCTTAACAACCTTCAAAAAGGAAAGAAGGAAACCTTAAGCCCCAAGCCCTCAACAACCTTCAAAAAGGAAAGAAGGAAACCCTAAGCCCCAAGCCCGCAACAACCTTCAAAAAGGAAAGAAGGCGGAAGCAGGAGGAGGAGGAGGCGGCCCCCATCTTTTCCTCCAGGGGGGGTTCGGACCCGGAGCTGGTTTTAGGGTTCGGGGCTCGGGGTGGAGGGTGTAGGAACGTTTAGGGTTTAGGGTTCAGGGTTTAGGAACGTTCAGGGTTTAGGGTGAGGGGTTTAGGAACGTTCAGGGTTTAGGGTGAGGGGTGGAGGGTTTAGAAACGTTTAGGGTTGAGGGTTTAGGGTTCAGGGTTTAGGAGCGTTTAGGGTTTAGGGTTCAGGGTTTAGGAACGCTTAGGGTTTAGGGTTTAGGAACGTTTAGGGCTCAGGGTTTAGGAACGTTTAGGGTTTAGGGTTTAGGAACGTTTAGGGTTTAGGGTTTAGGAACGTTTAGGGTTTAGGGTTCAGGGTTTAGGAACGTTTAGGGTTCAGGGTTTAGGAACGTTTAGGGTTCAGGGTTTAGGAGCGTTTAGGGTTTAGGGTTCAGGGTTTAGGAACGCTTAGGGTTTAGGGTTTAGGAACGTTTAGGGTTCAGGGTTTAGGAACGTTTAGGGTTTAGGGTTTAGGAACGTTTAGGGTTTAGGGTTTAGGAACGTTTAGGGTTTAGGGTTCAGGGTTTAGGAACGTTTAGGGTTCAGGGTTTAGGAACGTTTAGGGTTCAGGGTTTAGGAACGTTTAGGGTTTAGGGTTCAGGGTTTAGGAACGTTTAGGGTTTAGGGTTTAGGAACGTTTAGGGTTCAGGGTTTAGGAACGTTTAGGGTTCAGGGTTTAGGAACGTTTAGGGTTCAGGGTTTAGGAACGTTTAGGGTTTAGGGTTCAGGGTTTAGGAACGTTTAGGGTTCAGGGTTTAGGAACGTTTAGGGTTCAGGGTTTAGGAACGTTTAGGGTTTAGGGTTCAGGGTTTAGGAACGTTTAGGGTTCAGGGTTTAGGAACGTTTAGGGTTCAGGGTTTAGGAACGTTTAGGGTTTAGGGTTCAGGGTTTAGGAACGTTTAGGGTTCAGGGTTTAGGAACGTTTAGGGTTCAGGGTTTAGGAACGTTTAGGGTTCAGGGTTTAGGAACGTTTAGGGTTTAGGGTTTAGGAACGTTTAGGGTTTAGGGTTTAGGAACGTTTAGGGTTTAGGGTTCAGGGTTTAGGAACGTTTAGGGTTCAGGGTTTAGGAACGTTTAGGGTTTAGGGTTCAGGGTTTAGGAACGTTTTAGGGTTTAGGGTTTAGGGTTCAACGTTTAGGGTTCAGGGTTTTTAGGAACGTTTAGGGTTTAGGAACGTTTAGGAACGTTTAGGGTTTAGGGTTTAGGAACGTTTAGGGTTTAGGGTTCAGGGTTTAGGAACGTTTAGGGTTCAGGGTTTAGGAACGTTTAGGGTTCAGGGTTTAGGAACGTTTAGGGTTTAGGGTTCAGGGTTTAGGAACGTTTAGGGTTCAGGGTTTAGGAACGTTTAGGGTTCAGGGTTTAGGAACGTTTAGGGTTTAGGGTTCAGGGTTTAGGAACGTTTAGGGTTCAGGGTTTAGGAACGTTTAGGGTTTAGGGTTCAGGGTTTAGGAACGTTCAGGGTTTAGGGTGAGGGGTGGAGGGTTTAGAAACGTTTAGGGTTGAGGGTTTAGGGTTCAGGGTGTAGGAACGTTTAGGGTTTAGGGTATAGGGTTCAGGGTGTAGGAACGTTTAGGGTTTAGGGTTCAGGGTGTAGGAACGTTTAGGGTTTAGGGTTCAGGGTGTAGGAACGTTTAGGGTTTAGGGTTCAGGGTGTAGGAACGCTTAGGGTTTAGGGTAGGAGCGTTTAGGTTAGGGTTTAGGAACGTTTAGGGTCTAGGATTTAGGGTTCAGGGTGTAGGAACGTTTAGGGTTTAGGGTTTGGGAACGTTTAGGGTTTAGGGTTCAGGGTTTAGGAACGTTCAGGGTTTAGGGTAAGGTGTGGAGGGTTTTTAAACGTTTAGGGTTGAGGGTTCGGGGTTCAGGGTGTAGGAGCGTGTAGGGTTTAGGGTTCGGGGTTCAGGGTTTAGGGCTTGCTGCTTCGGGCTCTCTGACTCTTCTACTTGTTTGCGCATATTTCCGAGATTCAAAATATGCGAATCCGATACACAAAGATACGGCTAAGTCCCACTGCATGCAGCATGCTTATACACTCAGGAAATGCTTCCTTTGTGCTTAGGAGCTAAGTGAGAACTTTTTTTTATTTGGTTCGTCAGTCGGATATAATCGTGGTGGAAAGAGCACGGATACGTTGGCCGAATTTAATTAACTAGTATCTTGCATGCGTGGTTTGAATAACACTCCAAGCACCTTCATATTGGCATGCTCTATAACAATACGCTCGCAGCTAGGCCGAGCGCGACCGCGCAGCCAAGCTACCTGTCAAGAAGGTACCTATGTGGATGCATGACACAACGTCTATCGTGGCACAAGGAATTGAAGGCTAAATGGGAGTTTCCGAAAACAGGGGACCCTGATATAGTAGCCTAAACAGTAGGATCCTCATTATAAGGACCCCAAAAGGTACCCCTAATTTTCGGAAACTCTCAAACGGGGGCCTGCCCTCAATGTGCTATTCATTCCTCGCCCCGAGATTTCTGAGAGAAAGACTCGCTCTAGCACAGGATCGAGCAAAGGAAGAGGAGGCAATGCCGACAGGGCAGTGGGAAGTGGGATAGTTTTCTATAAAATACTGTAAATACTATGATATACTGTAACATACCATGATACACCACAAACACGATGATATACTATAACATAACTGATATACTATGATATCCTTGCCATCACACGACGGCCTCAACAATTGGGGTAGGGTGTGATGTGCGCTGACTACAACAAGGACTTCGCAGTACAGGGTCTAATTGCTCCGTACTTCTCTGAACCCGAAACCCTAAAGCCTAAACCCTAAATCCTCAGTTTCTAGTCCGAACGTCCTGACCCTGGTGTGGTACAGTTCTGTATATTGCAACCCGGAGATGTGAGACTTTCGTTTCCTATGGCAGAACACATACACACATACCTACATACATATGTAAATCTACAGATGTGTGTATATAGAACGAACAGCAGTATCGTATCGTGCACTTTCCGTGCGTTTTCCTCTCATGTGCAGCATCTGGCGTGATGTGTCTTCACAACTCTCAGCAGTGCGGAGCCACTTACGCGATCCTTAAACCCCAAACCCTTTGGTTGGTCAGCAAGACCCCGCGAAAGACAAGCTTGCTCAACATTCTCCCTACAATAGAAGCCTGAATCATTACCACTATTCTTCTTTAGGGCTGCTTCTTAGCATTCTACTACAATCTTTCAAAATTTATTCGACCGGAAGCTCCACTAAACCCTAAACCCTAAACCCCAAACCCTAAATGCTACACCCTTTCGAACGGAAGCTCCGCTGTTGTCATTTGGGTGTTGGAGGCTCTCCGCCAGCAGAAAGAAAAAGGCGCCCTGGATCTGCACAGGAAGCAAAAAGAACAGGCGCTGGAGATGTGTTGCTTGGGTTTAGGGCTTGGGGTGCAGGGCTCGTAGGATCTCGGGTATGGATCAGAGTTTAGGACTCGGAGATTTCGGTCTGTGGACCAGAAGGGTTTCGTGTGAGACATTTTATGGGACTGAACCGCAAGTTAAAGTTGCCGGGAAAGATGCAACACATCTTTGAAAGCACCGAGAGCCAAGGCGCAAAAGTCCTAAACCCTAAACCCCTAAACCCCTAAACCCCTAAACCCTAAACCCCTAAACCCCTAAACCCTAAACCCTGAATTCAGAAGCCTAGCAAACTGTGACCCGGCCCGGTTCACTCCAGAGAAGTACTTCTCACGGTCACGGTTCAGTGCATGGTGAGGTACATGGCTATAGTTAGTGTTTAGTGATTGCGCAAAGTCCCATAGAAGTCTAGCCTACTATGCACCAAAACCCGATTCCGATTGTTTACGTCCCCCGTATCATTCAATCGTGCTGTTGACTTTCGCCTCTACCCTCGTGATGTGGCATGCATTTCTATGGGAGTGTATCAAGACATATACAGTTCCTATTTCTTTATGACCTCCAGTTTTACTATACTATATACTGTTACTACACTTCTTACTGCATACTGTACCATGCTATACTATGACGTACTATGCTGTACTATACAGAACTATACTGTGCGAATCAGTTTGCAGAGGAGGCGGAGCGGAAGAAGAAAGACCAAGACAAGATGAGGGAAAAGAGGATGAAGGCCACGGCTGAGGGATCAGATTCAGAGTTTGGGGTTCAGGGTTTTGAGTTTAGGGTGTTGGGTTTAGGGTTTAGGGGTTGAGGTCAATCAAGGCATGAAGGAGATTAACGGAGCATTCCAGCCTTGGGGCCGTATTCACAGCAACACTATAGCCTCCAATCCGTCCTCTAACGGTTAAGGCCCCTAGGTTGAACCCTCCCCTGAGGTTTCAGAGCCCCTTCTTTGAGTATTTTGGGTGTGTTTGAGACTCGAGAGTTTGGAGTTTGGAGGGTCGCTAAGGTTGGTTCCTCAAGCGACAAACCCAAACAACCCTGCACCCTAAACCCTGAACCCTGAACCGTTCCCAGAGAGCCGAATCCCTCTTGAAGAAGAAGAAGCCTGAACTCATAGCATTCAACTCTGAAGCCTCTTATCAAGTTGAGGCACTATATGTATTCTTCCATTAACGGCTATTCGACCAAACCCTAGTGGTCTCGCATAGTTACATTCACACTGCAATCCTTTAGGGTCCAAAGCTTTAGGCTTTTGGGATACCGACTCTAGGGTTCTAGGGTTTCAGGGTTTCAGGGTTTAGGGTTTAGGGTTTAGGGTTTAGGGTTTAGGATTTTGGGTTTAGGGTTTAGGATTTAGGGTTTAGGGTTTAGGATTTAGGATTTAGGGTTTAGGGTTTAGGATTTAGGGTTTAGGGTTTAGGGTTTTAGGGTTTCAGGGCTTTGGGAGAAGAAGTATGCCGAACGTGTCTTCTGCAGCACGGCAGGCCTCGAAGCCCTAAGCCCGTGAACTCAAAACCTCAAAAGCCCGTGGGAGTTTTAGCAACCCCGCGACTGCAACAGGCCGATACCCCATATTCTTGGAAAATACGTTTAGACACAGATCAATCCATAAACTCTCAACCCTAAACCCTACTGCCAGCCCGAAAATCCTCACTGCATCCCGTCAGTCGCAAATGGATTTTGTCCTCCATGCTTTTCCAGAAAGCGCAGATCAGCCGCAGGCAGCGGCACGTTGGAGGGGCTTCGGGTGTTGAGCTAATTTTAGGATCGTTTAGGTATGTAAATCCTGGTCGAGGTCGTCGGGGTTTGCTTTGGGGTTTAGGGTCTCAGAAGTTGGCATGGGTCTACTTTATAATCGTTACCATTACCACTGCTGCTGCTACTTTGGTTGCTACTGCTAAGAGGCTAGTGCTACTCGATCTAACAATACTACTGCTTCTACCGCCACCACCCATCACCGCGACGACGACAACCACTACCCCCACCACTCCCGCTCTAAGCCATCGGGATTCTGCCACAAGCCCACGCCAATGAGGTTTGCTGTGAAATACGGTTGGTTTTGTAGAGAGCAAGAAAGCCCCCTTTGAGGGGGACGCGGACCCTAGACCCCAATTGGGACAGTTGGGTGGTTAGGGCGGGACTGCATGCTGATGCAAGCGCGCGATGAGTGTGCCCCTATTCTAACGAAGCGCACCCACCGTACGCACACTGTATGCACAGTTTCTTCAGTGTGTATGCAGTGTGAGCGCGGAGGGTGCGCCCCCCATAGCAATGGGGCCACACCCACTTAACGCACGCACACTGTGTACAACCCTCAAGCCAAAATCTTACACTCTTAACCCTAAACCCGAAGCCCCAAACTTAAAGCGTGAACACCTTCAATCCTTTCCAGGGCAAGAAGAAGAAGGAGGGGCGGAAAGCCAAGGCCGCTACCTAGTGCTCTTGAGGGCATCAGGTGGTTTCGGGTTTGGGGTCTAGGGTATCAGGTTTCGGGCTTCGGGTATTGGACATCAGTCTTTAGTAGTTGTTCGGTTTAGGGTTGAGGGCAGTTGGTGTTGCTGTTGTTGCTGTTTTAGCTGGTGCTGCTTTTCTGGTGTCATGGTGGCGGTGGTGGCAAATGCGGTGGCGGTGGCGGTCGTGGTGGTGGTTGTTCTCGTTCTCGTTGTCGTCGTCGCCATTGTTGTTCTTGTTATTGTTCCTATTCCTGCTCTTTCTCGTGTTCTTGTTCTTCTTGTTGTTGCTGCTGCTGTTGCTACTGTGTTTTTATATCTACTGTAGTTTCCCGGTGATACTTCGTCCGACAGTAAAGCGTAAACCCGACCTGATCGATGTTCTGACTCAGGTCGCTACTCCGAAGCCTGTTTGCATTTCGATGATCCTCACTGGCTCCAAAACCGTCATGAAGCCCCGACCTTTTAACCCCACCTGCATCCCAAACCCCAAATCCCCAAACCCCAGCCCTACACTTCAACACCCTGCACCCAACACCGTAAAGTCCATGTTTTTTTCTTCCGTCTTCCTTTGACCAGAAACCTCCTTAGGATATCCAAAAAAAGCCCTTGGCCCGAAGCCCACAGCCGATAATTCTTGAGAATGAGGGCTTTTTGTTTTCATTCCAATCCACACAGGCCCCAGTATTCCTCAATTTCATTGAGGGCCCCTTGTTCAGATAACCTGCAGTACTTGCTTTAGTGATGTATTTTGGGTTTTAAGCTCTGGATAGTAGACCCATAAGCCCTTAAACCGTGAGTAAACCGCAACCCCTGAACCCGAAACGTTTTCAAAGGAGCCGACTTATGACTACCCCTGCCCCCCCCCCCCCCCCCCCCCCGCCCCCGGCACCCCCCACTGCTTCCCAACCACAACCCGCAGGCCCAGGCTGAGGAGATGGCCGATCCAGACCAGGAGTATCTGAAGACGCCGAAGGAAGGTGTGCCGATCGCGGACAAGGCCCGGTGTGATCTCGCAGCTTGTTGTACTGAATCGTTAGAACACGTTTCTGGGGTAGAGGAGGGGATGTTGGGTAGCAAGACGGCCAGCTCAGGGCGCTCCAAAAGGAGTTTGCAGGGTTCAGGGTGCTATGAAGAAAGTGAATTGATTCCTACAGTTTCTTGTTGCAATCATAAATCCTGGACTAACCCTCGTTATCGTGACAGCTATTCAGCCATTATAGAAACCATTATGGAGTAATTAAGCGTTAGTCAACCCCTTCAAGAAAACCTGCCAGGCTCTCCTCGGGAACCTGTCCTGGTCTCATGGTTCTGAACAGATGCGATTACCTGAGCAGGAATATTGGTAATAGTTGCAGTACAAACAAAGACAAACACACACAAGTATAGAACCACAGCCGTCGTAGCATTAGTAGTCGCCGTCGTCGTGGTAGCAGTGGCAGTGGCGGTGGCGGTGGCAGTAGCAGTAGTAGCAGCAGTAGTTGTTGGTAGCGGTCGTGGTAGTGGTCGTGGTAGTGGTAGTGGTGGTAGTCTGCTTTTTGTTTTATCGCAAATATCAGGAGTACCAGTAGGAGTACCAGTAGTAGTAGTAGTAGTAGTAGTAGTAGTAGTAGTAGTAGTAGTAGTAGTAGTAGTAGTAGTAGTAGTAGTAGTAGTAGTAGTAGTAGTAGTAGTAGTACTAGTACTAGTACTAGTAGTAGTAGTAGTAGTAGTAGTAGTAGTAGTAGTAGCAGCAGTAGTAGTAGTAGTAGTAGTAGTAGTAGTAGTAGTAGTAGTAGTAGTAGCTTGGAAGTATTCGTCACTGCAGCTTGAAAGCTTGGATCGCTTAAGCAACACCCCAAAACCGGATTCTTCCGAACACGGCGTAACTAAAGGGAACTCCAGAAAGTTGGAATATGGTTTCAGGGTAGGATACCTTATGATTTACCATAAAGGGCTTAGGATAATCATATTCCAACTTTCTGGCTTCTACTTTAAGCTGCCACAATAAGGAGACGAGATCATTTTCTCTATACGCCCGCACTAATCTTCAAATTCCAGAAAAAGAGCCCCAATGACCCTTGGGCCACCAACCCAGAACCCCAACTCCAGAAGCGGAGTTCAGTATGCCTCACCCGACATTCCTACACAGAGCCAAATCAACATATAGAAGATTGGGACATAAGCACCGAAGCCCCAAACCTAGAGGGCTCACGATGTGCGACCCCTCTGTTGCTGGAATTCCTGGCAGGAAGCACTGATCGGAAGGTTGCGGCCACGCCTGGAGGCAGTTGAAACGCGAGGGGCCGTGTAGGAGCTCTGTCATAACGGGGGCCTGAAGTGTTAGAACAGCATTTTGGGATATGTTCTAGTATAATGAGAATACAGAGCCCTGAACAATAGTATTCCTGCACTATGGTGATACCCGGGTCGTGTGTTTTGAGGTTTAAGGGGGTTTCGGGTTCGGCTAATTCGGACTTCGGGCTCTTTGAGGGTTGAGGGTTTGGGTTTTGGGGTTATGTGGGTTTTGGGTTTAGGGTAGACTAGTAGTGGGGATAAAATTAGAGACTACTATAGGGATCCATTCCCCCATTCCCTACGAAGCACCAGACAGATAAGGGAGGGTTTGTTCATGGCCAGGCTTTTAGATTGACGGGTCTTGATTCCGTAAGAACGGCAGTATTTCGTGCGGCTGCGTCGGACACGACGAAACAACTTTTCCCATGTTGAATATATTTGGCCCCAAGTAGTTATTGACTTGGATATGAGTTCCCGTGCATGCTTGCTTGCAGAACGTATTCGGGAAACCCGAAAACCTGAACTGCTACAAGGCTCGAAAGATTTCAAGAAACGCAAACGGGGGACACATCCCCAAAGTTGGGTGTTGAATATACTGATTCTCTGCTTTTCCGGATGCCATGAGAACGTGGTTTTCGGTATTTTAGGTCATAGCCAGCATTTGCCTCTTAGGCCAGCTCGACCTTCCTGTCAGTCTAGGGTTTGAGGGGTTAGGGTTTAAGGCGAGGCCCCAGCCAACATGTGAAACTGACCAGGAACTCAAGGTCAAGGAGGCGAAGAAAGATGCGGAGAAGGCTTGGCTGGCCAGAATACAACAGACTTGAAACAGGGTTTTGAAGTATCTTATAGCCGCTTCTAGCAGACCACGATGCCGGGACCATAAGGGGAGATGATTACAACTTGTTCAGAGCTCTATAATGTATTGCAGGGTCTGGATAGGGCAGAAGTCATTTGGGTGCTTGTGGTGTGGGTGGGTCTTTTGCTTAGATTCTTAGATCACATTACAGGCGACCAAATGGAGTGGTCGACGGCAGTCGGAAAGTACCGACAAAGCCAGGTGGTGGAGGCGGGAGCGGCAGGCTCGAAGTCGCACTTGGTCGCAAAGAAGAAGAACTCCCCACAGAGCCCAATACCCCTTAATCAAGGAAAATAGCTTAAATCATAATATGAAGCCCTATATAATTTAAGCCATATTCCCTAAGGGGTATTGGGCTCTCTGGGTCGGCCTCACACGTCCAGGAGAAGAGCTCCGCCGCACCGGCTCCTGCGTAGATCACGGCCCTGGAGTTTCCACGTGGCCAAACTCTGTCTCCCAAGCGGTTCTCCAAGTAAACTGGGTTGTGCTTTGGGATAATTGTTAATTTCCCTTATTTCCTTATAAAGGGAACCTATACATAAATAATTATCAAAGGGTTTAAAACACAACCCAGTAAAGAGTCGGGGCTCCGCAAGATCGATCACTGGAAGCTTCGTAGACGAAGAAGCGCCGGCTCTACCGGCCGTGGTAGCTCGAGACTCCAATATCCCTGAATTAGGGAATATACCTTAAATTATAGTAGGATCCCTTATATGATTCAAGGAATATTCCTTAATTAATGGATATTGGAGTCTCTGGGTGGACGGAATCATGCCCATCACCTCTTCTTGCAGGTTCTTTCTCTAAGCTGGTCACCCGCTTCCGTGGAGCAGTTAGACTAGGGTTTTGGCGGTTTCTTTCTGTTGTTCTGTGGTACATCAAGGACGAGTATTAAACACTAATTCCCCAAGCCCAGCATTTGGCGAGTTGTCGGATCCCAAAGATGCTACAACTTCAACACCGGAATTGCACCAAGCGCTGCTTCCACGCCCGAACCGGGACCCCAGACTGACCCTCAGTTTTTTGCACGCATCAACCGGGTCCGGAAGCAGCCAGAGGCGGCAACGGTTTTATGGGGTTTAGGGTTTCGGGATTCAGGGTTTAAGGGCAATACCGTCAAGGGTTTAGGTTTACGGGCTTAATCAGGTTGGATCGGGAACATGCCCCTTCGTGTCCCTTCAAAGCGCTGCATGCTTTACAGTCCTCAACAGGCATCAATGTCTACACCCTAATCCCGAAATCCCACAAAAAAGTCTACATCAGAAAGCACCAACGGCGATTTAGGATTTAGGGCCCTGGGTTCCCGAGCACAACATCCATCCTGGACTCCCGGAGTTATGAAAATGCATCCACACAAGGGTCAGACTAATGAGCAATCGTATTCCCTTCAAGTCCCGTCCCTGATATAACTGTAGGAGAATGTACCCAAACACCTTGTCTAATTGTGAAGGCCACTACACTGCACCCTAAACGCCAGAAGCCCTGTGGAGGCGTCAGTGCCGACGCTCACATCTGCTGCTGCCGCTCCTGCTTCGGAGGCGAAGACAGCCTCCCGGCAACGGAAAGCATGGAAGCCCCCGATCGATGCACACATCAGGCCCCCTGTCTTACACACGATAAAAGCCCTCTTCAAGCCCTAACCCCTTTGCTAAAACCTTACCAAAGCCTTACGAGCACTTTGGTTTCGAAGCCCATCATGTCATCATTCAGCTTAGGCAGGGGTTTGGGGTTAGGGTATAGCGTGTAAGCTTGGGGTTTAGGGTTCGAGGTTTAAGTCTAGGGTTTTGGGTCAGGGAGCGTGTAAGCTTGGGGTTTAGGGTTTTGGGGTTTAAGTCTAGGGTTTTGGGGGTAGGGTTTTGAGGTTTAAGTCCAGGGTTTTGGGGTTAGGGTATAGGGTGTAAGCTTGGAGTTTAGGGTTTTGGGTTTATGTAAGTCTGGGGTTTTGGGGTTAGGGTATAGAGTGTAAGTTTGGGGTTTGGGTTTAAATCTTGGGTTTTGGGATAAGGGTACTATAAAAGATCATACTACGCTGAAATAGATTATAACAGACTATCAACAGATTATAAATAAACAGACTATACAAGACACTTAGACCCGCCGCAGGAACCTTCGCCTGTCCTTGCCGGCCGCGGCCAAGAGGCCTCCTCGTGCTCCCGGCTGTTCATCGGGCGAATGTACGCAGTTGGTTTTAGGGTGTAGGGTTTAGGAGTTTAGGGTTTAGGGTTTAGGGTTTAGGATTTAGGGTTTAGGGTTAAGGGTTTAGGGTCTAGGTTTTAGGTTTTAGGTTTTAGGGTTTAGGGTCTAGGGTTTAGGTTTTAGGGTTTAGGGTTTAGGGTGCAGAAGCAGCCAGAAGTATCAGCCCGATAGGATGTGGGGTAGCGGGTATCGTAGCAGCAGCTATGTATGATTCAGGATGTCGTGGTTTGGGGCTTGGGCGGCCGAGACCTTTTCTAGGATGTTACGCCTAAGCCCTGAACCCTAAAGCCTAAACCCTGGGTTTAGGCTTTAGGGTTCAGGGTTTACGGTTTAAGGTTTAGGGTTGCAGACATCCCACAGAGCCTTAAGACTTCCTGATCCCGAAACTTCTAAGCCATAAACTCAAGCCCCAATCCCAAGCCTTGAACACTAAACTCCCAAAGCCCGAAAACCCAAAGCTCTACAACTCCAAAAAGTCTCAAGAAACGGAGCAAGAAGCCCAACACATCTAAACCCGTAAAGCCCCAAACCCCAAACCCTCGAAACCCTTAATCCCTGAACCTTAAACCTGAACCTGAACCCCTAAACCTCTATACCCCCCAACCCTAAAACCATGGAACTTTTAAGCCCTACAAACTCGGAAACCTCCAACGCCTACACGGGGGGAGGAGCTTAATGGCGCCCTAGATCAGCGGCTGCAGCAATTCGACTCTGAGGCCCGGGGCGGCGTGGGATCGCTTGGGGCTTAGGGTTTTGGGTTAATCAGGGATTGCATTACGAAGTTAAAGATACGGTCTAGGGATTGCAGCTACGGCTAGTGCATAAAGCACAAAACTCGTCAACCCTCAAACCCAAAACCCCTGAACCCCTAAAACCCAAGACCCCTCAACCCTAAAACCCAAAACCCCCAAACCCAAAACCCCTAAACCCCTAAAGCCCCAAACCCTTCAACCCTCAAACCTAAAACCCCTAAAACACGAAGCCCTGAACCGTCTTCAGGTCTCAGAATTGGGAGATCGGGGCTCGCCTTTGCCTTTAGGGTTTAGGGTTTAAGGTTTAGGGTTTAGAGTTTAGGGTTTAGGGTTTAAGGTTTAGGGTTTAGGGTTTAGGGTCCTTACTTGGAAGGGCAGGGGACTTAGTAAGTAGGTTATAAGTAGAGTTATAAGTACCCTAAATGGAGTTACCCCAACTATAACCCTACTTATAAGCTACTTGCTAAGTCCCCTGCCCCTCCAAGTAGGGTTTAGGCTTCAGGGTTTAGGATTTACGGTTTAGGGGGGTAGTTATGAAGGAGCTCTATGGAGCTGTAAGGGTACTACGGTTGATGATATCAATCCTGCATTACCTTAGGGACCCTAAACTATGGGAGTTATGGTATATTCCTTATTTAATTTTGGGTAATGCAGGTTTTATATCATCAACCGTATTGATCGGTTTAGGGCTTGGGGTTTTAGGGATTTAGGGTTTGGCTTGCAGGATTTAGGGTGAGGAATGTTCCTTTGGGGTTTAGAACCTCGATAGTTACAATAATGTTTCTTCGAGGTTCCTTCGAGGGCTTCGCAAGGGTTTCTGTTATGTGGGTGCAACACAGAGACCTTAGAGTTGCAGGCTTGGCTTTCGGAACAGTTTTGGCGGGACGGATTATGAAGGCTTCCATTTCCATGGATACCATCCGTTACTGTAGGCCCTAATGAGCCTACTTAAACATGTTGAGTTATAGGCACACTGATCTGATCTAGGCCCGAGGCCCTGAGCATACGCTTTTGCATCTTGCGTTTTATGATTGCGAGCTCGGTATCATCCCACCCTCATCTCCGGCAGTTTTGCGTGGCAACATTCCTCGCATAGTACTGGATGGGCATTTTTGCCAGTATGCACATCGTTCATGCTGACTGCTACAGGTTTCTCGATACACTAGTGTTCGTTATTTGCAGGGTTGCTTTATGTTTAAGTGTAACTGATACGGCTGCATTCGAAACGGTGAAAGCATAAGCCATGTTTGTCACAAGCGGCCACCACGCACCAGTAAATATGCGTTTTGCTATAGCTACCGCCTTCAACCAGAATGGGACACAGGCTCTTGTGCATCACATGCTTACCATGTCCCCCCTACTTGGAGAATCATGGGACGTAGTAGGCACGGTTACATAATAATTATGAGCTTATTACTTACCCCAGCTACGAAGTCCCCCGACCCTCCAAGTAGCCCCCCTTAGACTCCCGAGCGACAGGATCCCACGCACCGAAGCCCGCCGACGAAGCAGCCAGAGGCAGCAACGGTCTTGTCCCGGATTTAGGTCCGGGTTTCGGTTTAGGGTTTAGGGTTTAGGGTTTAGGGTTTAGGGGATTCAGAGGTTAAGGGCTTAGTTTAAGGGTTTTTTGGTAGCTTTGGATCCGAAACTCCGGCCCCAAACAGAGCAAAAGCAACAAGGAAGGTTGAGGGCTTGGAGTTTCCGAAATCAACATCCCTCATCGAATTGCGGAGTTCTTGAAGAAGCCCTGCCCAATACCCTAAACCCTAAACCCTAAATTCCCACCCAGGCCTGCTTAGGCCGTACCCACCCTTTTTCTTAGGGTGAAAGGCCCCAGAGGCCGGCCCAGGGGGCCCCCTTTTCTGCCCTTTCCTGTGTCTGGCCCTTTTCTGGCATCCCTGACCCTCCTGGGCCCCCTGGCCCCCCTGCCCCCCCTGGCCCCCCCCCTGGCCCCCCCCTGGCCCCTCCTGTGCGGCTTCCTGGCCCCAACAGATGGACCAGGGGCAGGTGGGAATTGAGGGCGTAAGCCCTAACCCTAAAAGGCAATATTTTGGGAAAAGGTTAGGAACCAATGTGTAATTGTTTGGTGGTGGAATCGCATTCGAACGCTAGACGTAGATATGCCGCCCCCCCCACACCCCTGGGAGTGTTGGGGCGCCATCCTACATAGAAAATACTGCCGCTGCGCGGCGAGACGCCCTAAACCCTAAACCCTAAATTCCCACCCAGGCCTGCTTCGTTACCCACCCTTTTTCTTAGGGTGCCTGGACCCAGAAGGAAATCCGGCAGTGATTGACACCAACTCTGGATGGACAATGGGTGGAGCCATTGGAGAATCGTCGAATTCAGCCCCTAGGGCTGAGCCAAACCATTAGGCCCCTTGCGCGGCGCCTTTTTTCGCAGAAGGAATTTTCTCGAATCTCAAGAGATTAGAATACCTTAAACCCGACCACCAAATCCGTTTGGTGGTGTTTTCCATTTGGCTCCCTTCAGAAAAGGCCCCAGAGGCCGGCCCAGGGGGCCCCCAGCTGGCTTGGCTCTGGCCACCGGCCGGGGGCCTGGCCCCCCCGGCACCCTGGCTCTGGCCCGCCTTGTAAAGTGTAGCCTTTCCTGTCCTGGTGCGGCCTTCCTCGCCCCAACAGACAGACTGGGGCAGGTGGAGCCTGTGTGATCCACAGCGGCTGGGAAAAAGAACAATAACCAATTTGTGATTGTTTGGTGATGGAGCCGCCTTCTAATGCTAGACGTAGATATGCCGCCCCCTCACACCCCTGGGAGTGTTGGGGCGCCATCCTACATAGAAAATACTGCCGCTGCGCGGCGAGACGCCCTAAACCCTAAACCCTAAACAATCATACCTACAGCATCCTGGAGCCCGGCAGCCCGAAAGAGGTGTCGAAGGCGTCGCTGACGGCTGCTGTCGCTGCTGAGGCTTCCGCGGCGAAGGCAGGTTTGCGGCACTGGAAACGATAGAAACCCCATGATGACATGTTAAGCCCTGAACCCCGAAGCTTAGATTCCACAGCCCCAAATTACCTCTAACCGTCCTAACTAGGTGGCACTTTAGGAGACTTTTTAGTTTTCCCCTGTGGTTATGAAAGAGGTACCTATGCATGAATACTTTCCAGCGCTGCAAAACGACAACCCAGCTATGCCCCACCCCGTAAACCCTAAGCCCTCAACCCTTTCTTCCGAAACCCTAAAACCCTAAAACCCCTAAACTCTAAACCCTTTTTTCCTAAACCCTAAAACCCTAAAACCCCTAAACTCTAAACCCTTACTTCCTAAACCCTAACTAAGCCCTAAAACCCTAAATCCTAAACTTAGACCCTAAAACCCCAAAGCCAAGCCCTGGTGCTTATGTCTTCGCGCCCCCTGCAGGCTCCGAAAAAGGTGGTCAAGAAGAAGCCGAAGGCCCGTCGTGGTAGAGTTTTTAGGCGCTTTAGGGTTTAGGGTTTCAGGGTCTAGGGTTTGGGAGGTATGGGTCTAGGGCTTTGGGTTTAGGGTTTAGGGTGTACTATTTTTTCAAAGGGTTAGGGCTTTCTCGTCTGTGAAAAAGAAGGTTAAGGGTGTACGGTTTGGGTCGGGGGTTTGGCTTTAAGGCTTGAGCGGCGAGTGTTCTTTGGTGTTCGGGCTTCTAGGGTTTATAGTACCAACAAACCCCAAAACACTCGTCCCTGACCCTATAAGCCCTATTAGGGTTTATGGGGTCAGGACGAGCGTTTTAGGCTTTCTTGGTTTTCTTCGGGCTTTTCGGGTTTACAGGGTTTAAAGCAGGCTTGTAGAGTTTCGAGTCGAGGACATGCAGGGTTTCGGCTTTCAGAGTCTCGGGTTTACAGCGGGGTTTAGGGTCTAGGGTTGGAGCTTTCAGGGTTTAGGGTGTTTACGGTGCTTAGCGGAATTCGGGCTTGAGTTGGTATAGGGTTTCGGGTTTGTAGGGCTGATTGGGCTCAGCGTTTAGGGCTTATAGGTTTAGTTGGGTTTGCGGGTTTTGTGTTTAGGGTTCGGGTGTAGGGTTTACAGCGGGTGGCACGACTGCGCCTGAGTTCGCGAGTGACAAAAAAGTCGTGGATTTTGCAGTGAACTGGTCGTCGGGGGACTGTGGAAAGAGCACAGTATTCCTACGGGTCCATGTGCCCAAATAGTATATACATTAGCCATTAGCCCCAGTGCAACTATATAGGGACTACTTTAAGGCCAAAGTATATACTATTAGGGTACATGGACCTTTAGGGATTAGCCGAGAAAGATAGCCGCGCCACATCTGGAGCTGTGGAATCGCAGGGTGCGCCCTCCGGGCATCTCGTAACCAAATACCCTGAACATCTCTGAATGCCATAGGGTGTTACGACTCCGTTTGGGGAATAGAAGGGTTACTTTATTTCGGGTTCCAGGCTCCCATTTGTAGGTTTTGAGGCTATTTATGATTTTGTGTGCAGGCCAGTCGGACATGGAAGTTCAGTTCATTCGCGATGAGGTTTGGCTCGCCTGGTGTGAACTTGTTGGGCTTGGATTCTCATGCCTTGCTGAAGCAGACCCCCACCAAAAAACAAGGAACAGGCAAAATGCCTGTTTTGTTGAGGGGTCTTCTTGGCCGTCGTACTGGGCTTGCTGGTGCAAACAAATGGTATCCATCTGACAACACCGGTAAAGCTCCTAAAAGTCAAAGAAACCCAAAACAACAAAACTAGGAACCCCGTCTGCTACCAGTATTTTGTTCGAGGTGTGCTGTAATGGCCCGCTGGCTAAGACAATAAGCCCGAGACTCACAGGCAAAGGAATCTTCTTCCACTTCCTCCGTCTGATCCTCAGCTTCCTGCATCAGGGGGGCTCAGGGTTTAGGGCCGGGGGTTTAGGGTTTGAGTTTGGGGTTTTTTGTTTTCGCCAAGATAATTCAGCGGCCGGAATCATGCGTAATGCCGTCACGGCTCCCTCAGAGTTCCTTCAAAACTCCAACTGCAAACATATGGGAGTTTCCGAAAACAGGGGGACCCTAATATAGCACCCTAAATAGTAGGATCCTTATTATAAGGATCCCCAAAAAAGGTACCCCTAATTTTCGGAAAGCCTCATATGTCTGACTCGCAAGGCCTTGATCCGGGCCCGCAGTCCTTGGTTCTCGGGTGGGGGCTTTCAGTTTCGGGCTCCGGGTCTGGGTTCAAAACAGGGGCCTAAATGATTACCAATACTATTGTGGGGGTTCCTTATTATGATTATGGTATAATATACCCCAAAAACCCTATACTATAATTATGAAGGCCCCTACTTTAGGCTGTATGTCCAGATGCACTTTCGAGCTGCAAGTTGGGTCTGGTGGCGCACCCTTTTGTGAATGATTCGGTTTATAAGGTTTAGGACTTGGGGTTGGGTTTAGGGGTTTAGGGGTGCTTTACCACGAGGCCGGTCCTCACAAAGCTCCATCCAAGAAAGCCCGAAGGCAGTCGAACCCCCAAACCCTGGAGCCAGTTACCTCCCTCGAAGGGTTTTTCCCGCTCAGGCACATCGCACAAACCCTAAACTGCAGCTCCTACCTAGACTAGACCCCCAACTACCCACTATTATACCCCAAGTAGCCACTATTAAGGACCATAAGTGCTTTATTGGAAGGCCCTTGGGTGCTCCTGGTAAATCCTACTGTTGATGATATAAATCCTGCATTACCTTAAGAAGGGCCCTAAGCTATGCGAATAATGGCATACTCCTGATTTTGGGGTAATGCAGGGTTTATATCAACGACAAGCCTGCAAAGGGAAGCTCCTCTTCGAAGTCTTCGTCCACGCACCGCCGCAGGCTAGTAGCCCAAAGCCTTGATACACAGAGACTAAAGGGAAGTCCAGAAAGTTGGAACATGGTTTCAGGGTAGGATACCCTATAGTTTACCATAAAGGGTTTAGGATAATCATATTCCAACTTTCTGGCTTTTACTTTAGGCTTCCGCTGCTATAACCAGGACCCCTCAGGGCCCTGTAATAGAGCCCTTATGGTCCTTAATGGTGGGTACTTGGGGGAAAATAGAGGGCAGTTGGGGGGTCCAGCAAGGGTGCAGTGTAGGGTCTGAGGTTTAGGGTGTGGCGGGCGTTGGGTTTAGGCCTTGGGGGGTCAGGGTGTCTGAGTTGTGCCCTATCCCTTGCAGGGCGTTTGTGTGCTTCGCCAGGCTTACAGGGTTTAGGGCTTAGGGCTTAGGGTTTCTGGGGATTAGGGTTTAGGGTTCAGGGTTAAGGGTCCAGGGTGGAGGGTTTAGGGTTTACGGTGCATGAGGCACACCTAAGGTGATTCGACTGAATAACGCCTTGCGTTGCAACCAGAAGGACCTTCAAATCTGAATGGCTGCTGTCAAGGATGATGCTACCTTAAGGGATCATGGGACTTAGTAACTAGGGTTCTAAGTAAGGCAAGTATACTTCTAGTTACTTACCACCCCAATTAGGGTACTTTCAACCTTACTTCCATGCGGGGTACATGTGCTGAAATGCGGGGCTTGCAGCTTTCAGAAGAAGTTGCCGTCAATTACAGGGACATCCGAAGACCAAAGATCCCGTCTTTGTTAAGCCGTTGCAGGGTGTTGCAGTTGTAATGCCTCTCGCCTCCACAATTAGCAGTTTCCAAGCGTTGGTGCTGGCAACATAGCATCGTTTCTTGTGTATAACGGACACACCCGCATCGGCTGCAACCCAGGTTTTAGGGTTCGGGTTTGCATAGGGGTAGGGGCTTTAGCTCATGGGGTTTGGGCTCATGTTTGGTGTTTGTGTTTTAGGCTGGGTTTTGATCCCGCAAAAAACCCCAAGCCCTAAAGCCTTCAAGTTAAAGCCCAAACCGAAGCCAAACCCGAAATTACTAGAGCTAACAGGGCGGCCGCGATCGCCATGAAGAAGAAGAAAAAGACGCAGGACATGGTGCCAGGGTCAATTCTTGGGTGTAGGGGTCGAATGCAGAACCCTCATAGTCGGAATAGGGTTGGGGGGTATAGTATACTAAACAGAAAGCAAGGAACCCTGAGGAAGAATATTGGCACTTCCTGAGCTTATGGGATGTCACGGTTTCAGGATTTTGCCTGAAACTTCCATAATATGGGAGTGCGATTACACGAGAATGATCGGGGCGGGAATGTTTCGCATATTGGAGATGTAGCTCGGCACGGGGGCGGAGACCTGGGAGCTGGCAAGGGAAACATGGTGACCCAGACCGGAGCTTGTGTGCCGTCTATGCGAGCTCCCGCCGTCCTGTCTTGCAGGAATCGAGTGCCCAGGTGATGCGAGGGAGCGGGAGTAATTAGTTCTGGACCACATTACTTAGCCCTAGTCCGCGCTGATGCGCTTGTAGTTGTACGACTTCGGCAAAGGCAGAGGAGGTTGAAAGCCGATGCCGACCTAGATCTGAATCCCGTGCTCGTCGCGTGGCAGAATGATGCTTCATTGTTAAGAAGTCGGTCACCAACATGGAATCCTGTAATGCGTCGCAGCACAGGACGACGTCGACGAGGACATATTGTTGTTCGCTTTTCTCGTATCTGCTTGTCGGCGGCCAGGGTGAGCTTGGCCTTTACTCGAGTTGCAATCGACACTGCAAACTACAAGTGCAGCCTTCGTAGCAAGGTTTCCCAAAACCTTGGAAGGATATGGCTGCGGCTGCACGCCCGCATGGATGTTCCCTCAGATGTCGTTCGGTTTCGGGTAGCCGCCGTCCTTCGGATCCGTTTGACCCTCCTGTCACGGTGCCGGTCGTGTCCGATGTGCTTGATGACCTGTCCGTGCCATAGGCCGCTTTTGAAACTGAGCAGGCATGGCGAGGGCTCTGTGCAGGACGGGGACAAGTCTGTCCATCTTCGAGACCTTAGCTCTAACGGCTGAGAGAAAAGCAGGAGAGCATTCAGTCGGACATGATCGCTCTGCTTGTTGCTGGCAGAGGTGGCCATCGTGCGTCTGTTATTGGCGTGGGTCTCGCTTTCTGCGAAATGTGACCGCCTTCGTCCGCATCCTGTTGTTGGTTTTCTAATCGTGTGAAGTAGTCCGGCTGACATTCAGGGCGGTCTGATGAATGTGCTTCCGGGTGATGAACAGGAACTCGGCGTTGTTGTCGCAGTTGTATGCTGACAGTTTGATGGGCGCTCAGGTTGCTCTCCGAGATGCTGCTTTTGCCGGAATTCTTCTCGGAGCTGCACAGCCCGGGATGGGGATTGACGTCACGTCGATCTGATTCGTGCTTTTGGGAGCGCGACTTTGACAAAGTTCCTGAAGAGTGAACTCGAGATGAAAGACTGTGCCAAGTCTCGATTAGGCGGTGTGCGGCCACTTCTGCTGCGCTGCTCGAGCTGGCAATGCGCGGATGCAAACTTTGCGGACGATTTCTTTTTATGCTCAGGCCCTCAAGCGAAAGCTGGACAAATTGTTCACGCTGTCGCCTCCCCGTCTCCGGCGAGTTCTTACAAAAGCTGGCCTTTACAAATACAAGGAGCGGGCTCGTTCTGGGAGTTCTTCAAATCGCGAGGGAGCTTCGCTTGTGATTCCTGGAAGACCGAAATTCCAACAGGTAAGTTTTCGCCCGCAGATTGGCGCTTCGGACGGGGAAGTGGATGGAGAGCAGCAGTCACAGGCGCGGGCAACTCCGATCGTCTTCTGTTAGAAATGAAGGGCATGTCCGACAATGAATTCCCGAGAGTGCTTTTATGCATGGATGCTCCGGCTGCGACAACGACCGGGTCATGTGATGCCTGAGCAGTGTAGGAGGGGTGTCGAGTTAGACGGTTGAACGCCTCTTAAAATTGTTCTCGGTGCCTTACGACTAGTCAAAAAAAGTGCTGCGCAGGCTGGCGAGAGTCCGGATGGAGCCGCCACTCCGAGACAGCTGGAATTCTGTTTATGATCAGTCTGCCAGCGTCGTCTGAGTAGAGGGCAAAGGGAATAAAAGAATTGGTGTGGTGGTCGACGCTATGAACTGGTACATAAGAAACCTCATGCATGTTCACTTCGAGATCCTGAAGTATTCCTTTCTTGCAACAAAGCCGCCGAGACGCGACACGGATGACAACAGCGGTGGCGGCATCTCCGAATTGCAGCAGCAACGGCAGCAGATTCGGCAGCAGCAGCAGCAGCTCTTCGAGTTCGAGAGGCATCGATGACGCAGGCTCCGACGACGGCGGCATGGGTCAGGAAATGGAGGATGCGCGACGGGAAGGGGGGGAAATCGTGGCTGGATGGGGGTTCTATGTGACAGTCGTGTGTCTCCGCAGCGCAGCTTGAGGGAGCGAGAGACGTCTCAGCTGTGCACAAGATCTTTGGGGCTACAAGCCCTAAACCTGTAAAGTCTACAAACCCTAAACCCTATACCCCTAAGCTCTAAGCATGACGTTTAGATCTGAGGAAGCACTCCTGCGTCGCTGCACGAGCTTTCGTTCCAGTCCCCCACCCTAAAGTGCTTTCAAATCAGGGAAAAGTTGCAGGGTTTACGGTTAGGGTTTGGGGTTAGGCTTTAGGGTTCGGGGTTTAAGCTTTGGGCTTGCAGGTTCGGCCTAAAGGTTAGAGTCTTCGGTTTGGGCTGGGGCTTTGGAGTTTCGGTCTTGTTCTGTATTTTTGTTTTAGGGTTTAGTTCAAGTCTAAGTTTTAGGGTTTCGGGTTTGGGGTTTTGGCCCTGCCGAGTGTTACTTGCAGAACTGCATATTCAAAGTTCCTCAATCCACTTGTCGAAGTCCTGCGCAGAGGCGAAACACGCGTATGAAGACTGGGTGCCTCTTTTGATTTCCTATGGTTTCGCCGTATAGTTGGCATAAGATGTCAAGGGTTGGGGTTGAGGGTCTAAGCTGTAAGACACAGCAATCTTAAGTCACCAAACTCCCGCCAGAGGACACAACTCCCCCGAAGAAGGTGCGGGGCCAATTCTGCTTCTCTTCCTTTTGGGGTTTAGGGTTTTGGGTTTGGGTGTATGGAGGTCTGCATAATCGCTTAAATCGTATCCCTTTATGGGTACTCAAAAACCCTACTTATTACTTCTTACCTACTTACTAAGTCCCCCGACCCTCCAGGTAGGAGCCCAGCGTTTCAGCCCTCAGCTTTCAGGGAGCAGTGGCTCGGTGAGTGCTTTCGGATTGGGATTTTTGAAGTTTCGGTTTAGGGCTTCGGGTCAGGGTTTGACTTCCTGGATTAAGTTGAATTCCTAAACCCCTACTAAACCTTAAGATCCCGGAGCCTAAACCCTGAGCCCTGCTTGTAAGCGGAGGCTTTCTCTGTTACGTGGGTTTGTGGGGATCATCAGATCTAAGATGGAAGCCGAAGTAAGTAGCAAGCATATTCCTGAGGGCTCCTTACTAGACTGATAGTTTCAGATGCCCCAAACCCCTTTTCTAGTTATCAAGGCCCCTGACGATGTATTCCGAAGCCTGAGCCCAGTGCTTCGGAGACTTCCGTCGATCACGTGAACCTCGAAGCCTAGAGTCCTGGAGCCTTTTGTGGATTTAGGGTTTAGAGTTTAGAGTTTAGGTTTTGAGCAGTGGAGCGAAATCCCGCTTCTGAGGGAAAGGAAAAGGCCCGCGCGAAATCCAAGTCGCCTGTCACTTGGCTGAAACTTGGGTACCTTCAGAGGTAATATAGAAGCCTGACTTGTTCATGATATGTTAAGGCTCCTTATTGTAAGTATGCCAATATTCGCAAAGACCCTATTGTAATTATGCAGCCCACATACTGATCTTACCGTATTTGCAGAGGTATTTGACGAACTTGGGATGCGTTCAGAAGCTGCGGTCCATTTGGAAGGTCGGGAGGATTCACTGTGCAGTTATTTTCTAGAGAGAGATGAGTACCAGGCTGACAGACATATTCAGATGTCGAAAGCTTAGCCGACTTAACGTATGAAGTCCTACCCTACGCCCTACAAGCTACTCCCAAACCTTAAACCCCAAGCAATTACAAAGCCCTAACAGTTTTTGACGCACCAGCAGCGGCCGCTTCTACTGGGGTAGTAGTAGTAGTAGTAGTAGTAGTAGTAGTAGTAGTAGTAGTAGCAGTTGTGGTAGCAGTAGCGGTAGTAATTGTGTTTGGTTTACCTCGGGATAGTCCATAACCCTAGGGTCGACAATGGCAGCGCACACCCAGGTCCTTTCTCCAAGGCCCTTAACGGTTTAGAGTTTAGGGCTAAGAATTTAGGGGTTGAGGGTTTTGGTTTAGGGTTTAGGGTTTAGGGTTTAGGGTTTAGGGTTAAGAATTTAGGGGTTGAGGGGTTTGGGGTTTAGGAGTTTAGGGGTTCAGGGGTTTTGGGGTCTGGGGGTTCAAGGGTTCTGGGGTAACTCCGGAATGCTCGGCCCCGACATGGACCCGGCACCTTGAAACCCCGAGCCTCCAAACCCCAAAACCCTGCAAGCCCGATAAGCCCTGTAATCCCCGTTAACCCTGCAGCCACAGAAGGCCTTCTAAGGCCTATGAACCCTAAAAGCCCCACCGACCCTGTAAACTCCTGAAGGATCTAAGAAGTAGAACCCATAGACAGAGCTTTATCTTCAGCCAGACAATCATACGAAGCCCTTTGGGCGGGGTTCCATCTTGCGGATTGCCGATCCTTGAACCCCGAAGCCTAAACCCGCCTACCTTGGCAACTAAGCCTCCGTATCGGCCGACCTGGCCCGCATTCGCCACGAGAGTGCGCAGATGGAGAAGGGCCTCGCGAACTTGCAGGTCTGAGGGTGGAGACCACTGGTGCCTCTCCGACGGCAGTGTGCGCAGCTTTCTTCCAAGAACCTTCGCACCATGGGCAGAGAGCAAGTGGGTGAGCGACTTCGCAGCCTTCCCAACCTGCGTCCCTACGTGCCTCCTGCGGAAGCTTCTGCAGCTACCCCGTCTCGTGCTTAGCCGGCCATAAACCGGAAAGGACCTACCGTTTCAAAGATTCTTGTAAAGAAGTCATAGAAAGGAACCCTCAAAATCAGGCTTCTGTCAAACCCCTGGCCCTAAACCCACAGTCCGCATGACCGATTGCATAAAGCCTAAACTCCAAACCCCAAACCCTAAACTCTAAACCCTACAACCCTTCCACAATGTGGATTCCACCGACCTTAACTGTAAGGAGGAAAAAGGCGTTCAAAAAACACCCTACAACCCTAAACCCGTTTTCCTCAGCTCCCCAGGACCGAAGGCAGACCAAGAGGTCTCACTCGGCAAGGGACCTCGGATTTTGCGTTTGGGCTTTCAGGGTTTGAGGGTTTAGGGGTCCAGGGACTTAGAGGTTTAGGAAGTGTAGGGAGTTTAGGGTTTTGGAGATTTATTAGAGTCAAGCGTAAGATTTTCGCG